CGTTCCCATGACGTTCCCATGATGATTCCATGATGATTCCCTGACAATTCCCTGACAATCCCTGTGTGGGTCTCCCGTCGTGCCCGCAGTTCGTGCCGGCGGTGCCGACGTGCCGCTGGCAGGGCAGGGGCTTTCCATGACTATTCCAGGATGTTTCCACGATGTTTCCATGTTGTTTCCGTGATGATTTGTTCCTATGATGATTCCATGACAATTCCCTGACAGTTCCCAGTCCAGGCCACCCGTGGTGCCTGCAGGTCACGCCAGGGATGCCGGCGGCGGTGCCGACGTGCCGCTGGCAGGGCAGGGGGTTTCCATGGCAATTCCATGACAATTCCATGACTATTCCATGTTGTTTCCGTGATGATTTGTTCCCATGATGATTCCATGGTATTTCCCTGACAATTCCCTGTGCAGGTCACCCGTCACACCGGTGGCGGCGGCGGTGCGGACGTGGCGCTGGCAGGGCAGGGGGTTTCCATGGCAATTCCGTGACAATTCCATGACTATTCCATGTTGTTTCCATGATGATTTGTTCCCATGATGATTCCATGGTATTTCCATGACAATTCCCTGACAATTCCCTGTGCAGGTCACCCGTCACACCGGTGGTGACGGCGGCAGTGAAGACGTAGCGCTGGCAGGGCAGGGGGTTCCCATGGCAATTCCGGGACAATTCCATGACAATTCCATGTTGTCTCCGTGATGTTTTGTTCCCGTGATGTTTCCGTGACGATTCCCTGACAATTCCCTGACAATTCCCAGTCCAGGTCACCCATCACGCCGGGGATGCCGGCGGCGGTGCGGACGTGCCGCTGGCAGGGCAGGGGGTTCCCATGGTTATTCCAGGATGTTTCCATGACAATTCCCTGATAATTCCATGACAGTTCCCTGATAATTCCGTGACAGTTCCCTGATAATTCCGTGACAGTTCCCTGACAATTCCCTGCTGTTTCCCTGTCATTCCCAGGCCACCCGTGGTGCCCGCAGGTCGCTCCGGTGATTTCGGCGGCGGTGCCGACGTGCCGCTGGCAGGGCAGGGGGTTTCCATGACAATTCCCTGATAATTCCATGACAATTCCCTGATAATTCCGTGACAATTCCCTGATAATTCCATGACAATTCCCTGATAATTCCATGGCATTTCCCTGTCATTCCCAGGCCGCCCATCGTGCCTGTGATGGGTTCACACCGGCGGTGCTGGCGGCGGCGCCGACGTGGCGCTGGCAGGGCAGGGGCTTTCCAGGATAACTCTGCCATAATTCCGTGACAATTCCATGACAATTCCATGACAGTTCCATGACAATTCCATGACAGTTCCATGCTAATTCCCTGGTGTTTCCCTGTCATTCCCAGGCCACCCCTGGTGCCCGCAGGTCACGCCGGGGATGCCGGCGGCGGTGCCGACGTGGCGCTGGCGGGGCAGGGGGATTCCGTGACAATTCCCTGATAATTCCATGACAATTCCCTGATAATTCCATGACAATTCCCTGATAACTCCATGATAATTCCATGGCGTTTCCCTGTCATTCCCAGGCCGCCCATCGTGCCTGTGATGGGTTCACACCGATGATGCCGACGTGGCGCTGGCAGGGCAGGGGCTTTCCCTGCTAATTCCCTGCTAATTCCCTGCTAATTCCATGTTTTCCCAGGGCACCCGTCGTGCCTGCAGTTCACGCCGGTGATGATGGCGGCGGTGAAGACGTACCGCTGGCAGGGCAGGGGGTTTCCATGCTAATTCCATGGTAATTCCCTGGTAATTCCGTGTGTTCCCAGGGCACCCGTCGTGCCTGCAGTTCACGCCGGTGATGATGGCGGCGGTGAAGACGTACCGCTGGCAGTGCATCGAGTGCAAGT